TTTTTTTTGGTTTTTCTCCGGTACCGGGAACCGAACTCACGACCTTGCGCTTGCCAGGCAGGCGCTTTTGCCGCTGAGCTAAATCCCCAGCCCCTGTGTGTATTTTAGATTTAAAGAAACTTTGCACAGAAAAAGCAGAGTTCCTATATACTTCTTAACCTTCCACACTTACCCAGTTGATTATATAATTAACATTTTGCATTAGCGTGGTATAATTGTTATCACTGATAAGCCAATATTGATGCATTATTAATTAAAAGTCCAAAGCTTATATTACAGTTCCCTCTTTGGAGCTTTACAAATATATAATGACAATGTACCCACCATCGCGGCATCTCACTATATTCCTCCTGTTCACCCTCCGTCCTTCTCCCTGAACTCTTTACAAGTGCTGGCTTTTGTACTTTCTCCATTGTTCCCTCTTCTGCAGACTGTCACATACGTGGGATCATTTAGAAATTAGCCTTGTCAGACTGGCTTCTTTCTCTCAGTAATACACATTTAAGTTTCATTCAGGTCTCTTAATGGCTTCATAGCTCATTTCTTTTGATCTGTGAGTATCTGTCTGTAATGGTTAATCTTGATTGTCAACTTGAGTAGCTTGAGAGATGCCGAGGAAATTAGTAAAGCACACCTCTGAGCATGCATGGATGGGTCATGACCTAAAGGACTATGCTGAATCCCCAACCACTTCCTCACAGGCTCTTGCTTGTTCTGCTCTTTCCAGATGCCATGAGCTGCGTGGCTTTCGTCACCATGGACTGACACCTCTGAAGCGTTTGTGAAAGTTAACCTCTCCTCCTTTATATTGTGGGTGTGACATACTTTGTCCCACTGAGCGGAAACCTGACCAAGGCACATTCCATTACACAGACGTACCTCCAATCATTCATTCACTCTTTGGAGACTCTCTTGGTTGCTCTCAAGTTTTGGTAATTATGAATAATAGCAGTAAACATTTATATGCAGCTTTTTATGTGAAGAAATTTTCAATTCATTTGGGTAAATACCTAGGAAAGCAATTGTTGGATCAGATGGCAAGAATAGGTTCAGTTTATTAAAAAACCTGCCAAACTGTCTTCCCAAGTGGCTGAACTGCTTTGCATTTCCAAAAGCAATGAACGAGAGTCCCTGTTGCTGCATCTCCTCGCCAGCAGTTGGTGTCAGCTTTTTAGATGTCATCACTCCAATAAGTGCACAGTAGCATTTCATTGATATCTTTGTTTATAATTTCCTAATAAAATAAGTGCTTTTCATAAGCTAATTTGCCATCTGTGTATCTTATCTAGTGAGGAGATCTATTGTTCATTTTTACTTGAATTATTTTCTTATTGTTTTAAGAATTATTTGTATATGTTGGGTACAATTCTTTATTCAATGGATATGTTACAAATATGTCTTCCCAATCTGTTACTTGTTTCATTTTCTGAATAGTCTTTCACAAAGTAGGAGGTTTTAATTTTAATGAAATCCAACTTATCAGTTTTTCATTTATGAATCATGCTTTTAATGTTTTTTCTAAAAAGTCACTACCAAACCCAATATAACCTAGATTTTCTTCAGTGTTATCCTCCAAGAGTATTATCCTTTTTATCCTACATTTGGATCTATGATTCATTTAAGCTGATTTTTGTGAAAGGTGTAAGGTTTGTGTCTACATTCACTTGCTTTGCCTGTGGACATCCGGGTCTAACAACTTGAGCACTTTGCTATTCTCATTCCAAGGCACAACTGCAAAATGACTACCTCATCTCATGCTATAATTACAAAAGTGAAGAAATTATTTTTCTTCACAGAGAGGGTAACTGATTTTGTCAAAGTCACACACTGATGTTAGCTAAATTAAGATTGAACACCGATCTGCAAAACAGAAACTACTTCTAATTTCCAATGGAAACTATCTTTCAGTACCAGTGCATTTGCATCTGTTACCTGTTACCTTCCAAGTTGGTAGGGTTTTCCATACAGATTAAATAATCAGATGGTTCACGTAGATTGTGTTGTAACCTGAATTTTTTCTCTACTTTAGTCTACTTTTCTAGTGATAGAAATTGTCATATCTCTCAGAGACAATTTTTTCTTTAGCCATCATACACACACACACACACACACACACACACACACACACACTCATTTTGTTTCATTTGTCCTTGATAATACATGCCACAATACTTCCATATCCCCTGAGGCATAATACTAATAAATCCAGCATTCTGTTCAATGTGTTTTTGCTAAACTCCTGTTCTTTGACAGCCATTATAGAGGGATGGGAATTTTTTTTTGATAAATGTTTCAGAGATTCCTTTATGCCTTGGTAAGCCTTTAGAAGCTTTCATGATGTTTTTCTGTGCTTAGGTACAGAGAGTTAATATGTTTAATTTATCTCTGCTTTCCTGACACCGCATCTCAATTCTAGGAGTCAGTACTATTTGGGACATGATGATCCCCAGGGACTATCAAGAGTCAGCCTTCTACTGTCTCTAATCATTTCCCCCAAATAAATGTCTCTATGAAATCTATGGATGTAATAGCACAAAGTCTCATTCTAGTTGATTCTATATTTGCAGAAAGCAAGTGATGTAAAATATTCTGAAACTGCTCCTCCTTCTCCCTGTTCCTTCTGAGATTTTCAATCCGGTAAAGATGGAAGTATGACTGAGTACTTCAGAGAGGGAGAGCATTGCCCCTTGATGGTTGCAATTCAACCATGTCATCTCTAGAGCAAATCACCTTTACGCAGTGAGACCTTGCTGCCGCTTAGAGCAGAGCTTTGAATTACTGCCACTGTGGGGCGTCACCTGAGGGGGCTAATTACTTTCCCAAACCCAATTATCTTACCACGTTACAAAGTATTTTACTTTAGGAATTAAACATTTTATATTGTGTGGATAAAAATTCCATTATTTATATGAAAGTTCCTATTCATTTACAGATGGCATTTACAAGAAAAGTAGGTCATCTAAAGAGATACATTTGACAAAATGCTTGTAACTTAGTACCACTGATAATAAAAATTCATTAAAAAGGAACAAAACTCACCAGATTTAAGAACAATGACATGAATATTAGCTTCAGCCGATTAGGAACTGGAGAAAAAACTTCTGGAATATTTAACACAAAAAACCTGCACATAGTTCAAGCTTAATCAAAATATGTGATTTGACATTGAATTAACTTCAGTTAATTCATGGTGGATTTATCTAATAAGACCTTTATTTGAAACTATACCTCTTTGAAGAGTTACAGTTTAGATGCCAGAAGTCTATAAAATCAAGCTTATTTTATTAAATTTGTGTCAATATTGATTCCTATAAATCTTATTTTTATGAAAATAGTGAAGCATGAATAAAAGCAGAAGCAATAGTAGAATGGAATCCCGTATGCATCAGCCAGCTTCAACAATTGTAAATATCATCAATCTTATAAAAATCATCAATCTTATTTCTTCTGTATTTCTCCACCCAAAGTCCCTTGCTAGTTACTATTTTTTCACATATTTATTGAGAGATAACTTGCCTACCATAAAATTTACCCACTGTACTACACAATTCAATGCTTTTTTTAGTAAATTTAGAGAGTTGTGCAATAATCACACAATACTAATTTTAAGACGTTTCTGTCATCCATCCCAAAACTCCCCTTATGTTCATTTTGAAATCTCACTTTCAACCCCAGACCAGGCAACTGTAATCCACTTTCTGTGTCTGTACATTTGCCTTTTCTGGGAATTTTATATAAATGGAATCACATAATATGTAGAATTTTACATCTAATTTTTTTCCCCTGAGAGTAATGTTTTTGAAGTTCATTTATTTTACAGCATGTATGAAGTTTGTTTTCTTTTTACTGCCAACAAATCTTCCATTATATGGTATATACAGGGATATACTACGTTTTGCTTATTGATTCATCCATTGAGTTTTTACTTGTTTCCAGTTTGGGGCTGTTATTTAATAGTACTGCTATAAACATTCACGTACAAGTTTTTTATGGGCATATGTTTTCATTTCTCTTCTAGATACCCAAAAGTGGAATTGCTGGATATGGTAAGATTGCATTTAACTTTTTAGGAAATGGGCAATCTGTTTTCCAAAGTAGCTGTACCATTTACATCCACTTATAAAATTCCACATATAGTATTTTTGTTCACATACAGTTTAAAATTTTTCTAATTTTATTTGTGAATTCTTCTTTCATCAATGTGCAATTTATAAGTTTTCTTACATTTCCAAATAAACATTTGGGTATTTCCAAAATTTCATTCCATTAATTTCTAACTTAATCATATTTTAGGATTCCAATCATCTTAAATGTATTGAAACTTGTTTTATGAGCTGGTATATAATCTCTTCTGAAGAATGTTTTATGCACACTAAAAAATGTATATTCTGCTCTTGTTGCATAGAACATCCTGTAAATATCAGTTACTACAAGTTGATTGACAATTTTGTTCAAATTTTTAAAATCTTTGCTAATTGTCTGAATTGTTTTATCATTTATTAAGACTGAGCTATTGAAATCTCCAACTATAATTGCTGAAATTTCTACTTCTCCTTTATTCAGTCTTTGTTTCTATGGATTTTGATGCTCTGTTATTAGTTGTATATACATTTCTCATTACCATATCTTCCTGATGAATTGACCTTTTTATCATTATAAAATGACCTCCTTTGTATGTAACTCGTTTTCAAGTCAATTATATTTTTATTATTCCAATCTACATTAATATATTTACAGGTTAATAATAACCAACTCTATTGTGGTTATTATGTGCATAGTATATCTTTTACTTTCTTTTTTTGTTATAAAGAGAATAAAAAATAATAATAAAATAACAACAACATAGACAAAAACAAAATAAAGCAAAAACAATAAAAATGATACAGGATTTCAAAACAAAATGATAGGAATTAACAGTGGTCGTTATATTACATATTGTTATGTTCAAAGAAGTTGCTCAGATTTCCAAATTATATCTTTTACTTTCAACTTATTTGTGTTTTTAGATGTGTAAACAATACATAGATTGTATTTTTATTTTCACATTCACTCTGATATCTGTCTCTTTTTTTGACATATTTAGTTCATCCGTATTTAATATAATTCATTGTAATGCATTAGATGCCTATTAATTATTTAATATGTTAATATAAAATGTAATCATATCTTTAATTATGGAGTTAAAATCCCAATAAAAAGTGGGATTTTCCATTGGTTATCTTGCTTTCCATATGTCCCATGTCTGGTTTTTTTTTGTTGTTCTTCTATTCCTCTGTTTTTCGCTAAGTAAATAATTTTAATATATTAGTTAAATTCCCTCTGGTTATTTGCTTACAAAGTAGGGTTTTTCACTGGCCATTTTGCTACTTGCTTTCTATACATCTCATGTCTTTTTTTTATTCCTTTATTCCTCTTCTTCAGTTAAATAAATTATTTTTGTATAATATTTAAATTCATTTTTAGCTATTTTACTATTATAAAATGCATCTGCAATGGTTAGTCTTGATCATCAGCTTAAATGGATTGGGAAACAGCTAAGAAATCAACGAAGCACATTCTGGGCGCAGCTGTGCAGACATTTCCAGAGATGATTGCCATATGCGTCCGAAAACAGAGGAGACACGCCCTGAATGCAGGCAGCCTCATCTCATAGGGTCAGTGGGGGATGGAACAAAAGCACAGAGAGGAGGATGTGGACCAGAAGGAGGGGCATGGGCTCTCTGGCTCCCTTCTCCTTCCTGCTTCCTGGCTGCCACTTTCCTCTGCCACGCAGTTCCACCATGACAGCTCCTCCTTACCACAGGCCTGAAGCAATGGAGCCAACTGACCATGGACTAAAACTGTGATCCAGCGTAAACCTTCCTTCCTTTAAATTGTTTTTTCCCAGTGATTTCATCATGTGACATAAAGCTGACAAAAACAGCATTTTATATTGTTAGCACATTAATATAATTTAATTCTGGCAAAATCTTACAACTATACTCCAATAGAACGCCATTCTCTCTCCTTTTGTACTATTCATGTCACATGTCTTAAATTCACACATATTATAAACCAAAAAAAAATCCTGTTTTAATTAGTATTTTGTATAACCTTTTTCAAAAGAAATCAAGAGAAGAAATGGAAATAACACATATACAATATTTTATATTAATCTATTTATTTACCTTTTCTCATGCCATTCCTTTCCTGCTGATTTGAGTTATTGTCTGATACCATTTTCTTTTTCATCTGAAAGACTTCCTTTAGTATTCCTGTGAGGCTAATCCATAATCAACACATTTTCTGGGCCATATTTTTATCCCCATCTGGTTTTATTTCCTCTTCCTTTCTGAAGAATAGCTGTACTGGGCATAGAATCATTTTGAGATTCATCAGTTTATTGGATTTTTTACTCTTTTAAAATATATTTTAAATTTTTGATCAACATAATTATTGTACATATTTATGAGGTAAATACATTTTGATTCATGTATATATGAAGTGATGATCAAATCAGGGTCATTATTGTACCTGTCACCTCACACTTTTATCAGTTCTTTTTGATGACTACATTCAAAATCCTATCTTGAGATACACAGTGCATTAGCATTAGCTGTGTTCACCCTGCTCTGCCAGAGACACATGGAACTTACTCCTCCTACGTGCAACACTCTGCCCATTGACAGACCTCCTTCTGTGCACTGCTGGCCCTGCTCCCCCAACCTCTGGTAACCACTATTCTACACTCTATTTCCATGAGATCAACATTTTTAGCTTCCACAGACAAGTGAGAGTATTTTTCTTTTAGCACTTTGAATATTTCATTTCATCCCCTTCTGAACTCCTGTTTCTTAAATGGCAAGTCAAATAGCTCTTAATCATATTGTTGGTTTTCTGTACAGAATGAGTCGGTTTTTGATATGCTATGTCCACTGTTTTCTCTTTTCTTTGGTTGGTTTTCAAGAGCTTGATCATGGTTTGCTAGCTGCAGCTTTCTATTCACCCTTCTTGGAGCTCTTTGCACTTCTTGGATGGGTTGATTAATGTTTTTAGACAAATGTGGGAATTTAGGGTCATTATTTCTTCAAATACTGTGAGCCTAGTCCTCCCCTTTCAGGACCTTCTGAACCTTCCACTATACATGTGCAGTCACCTCTTATGTTCAGGGCAGGGCACATTCCAAGACTCTCAGTGGATGCCTGGAGCTGGAGGTAGTACAACTTCTATATTTATTGTTTTTTCTTATATAGACATACCTATGATGAAGTTCAATTTATAAATTAGGTACAGTGAGATTTATAGCAACAATAAAATATGGAATAATTATAGCAATATATTATAATAAAAGTTATTTAAATGATCTTTTTATGAGCATTAAATTTATGAACTATTTATTTTTGGAATTTCCTGTTTAGTATTTTTGGATCATAGTGAACCATGGGTAACTGGATCTGTGGAAAGTGAAATGGTGGCTGGCGGGTGCTATGGGTGCTCCTGAGGTTGTCCCACAAGCTCTCCTTTTTGCATTGTGCTTTCTTTTCTGTGACTTTCACTTCGTAATTGCTATTGATCCATGTTTAAACCCATTTTTTTTTCTACTTTAAATTGACTATTGTGACCCCAACACTGGAGAGAAAATGGGGGCAGCCCCAGACAAGAATGTCTCAGATGATTCTTTATTCATGTTTTAGTAGTTTTTCATGATTAATTGCTGGTCAACTTTTATGACTTTATCAATTTCCAGAAGACTAAAACAGTCTTCTTATTTTAGCTACTGCTTTTTGAGAAATGCTGAAGTTATCACCCCACAGTACTGTAAGTCCTGCCTTCATGTTCCTATATTATTAGTTTTGCAAGTCTGCTGTAAAAACTTATCACCAATTTAGTGGTTTCACATTACAGAAATTTACTCTTGCACACTTCTAGAGGCTGAAAATCTGTAGTCAAGGTAATTTAAAGGTACAGTCCCTCTAAAACCTGTAGACAGGAATTGTTTCTTACCTCCTTGTGGCTTCAGGAGGCTCTCAGTACTCTTTGGCCTGTGCAGCATAACTCCCAGTTTGTCTTCACATGGTTTTCTCTGTGTGTCTCTTTGTATCCCCTCCTCTTCTTGTAAGGACAACAGTGACAGAAATAGGAGCCTACTCTAAATCCAACGCAATTTTTATTTCAAGATCCTTTATTATATCTGCAAAAATCTTCTTTCCAAATAAGGTCACATTCTGAGGTTTCAAACGGACATATATTTGGGAATGATACTCCGTTCAGCCTACTACACTTGCTGTCCTGAATTTTGAAGGTTATACTTGTCCATTGCTCTACATGAGGCCAGCTTATTATTTACATGTACTTGGGTATTTATATCACCATAGTCTCACAGACATAATAAATGCTTAGACTGTTCTCTTGCAATTTCTGTGCCTCAATTTTTTACCTTTTAACAAGTATTAGGACCTAATTAAAAACAGCAACATCCCACAGTTTTTGCAAAGATTAAATCAAATATTTTCAATATTCTCAGAAAAGTTTTGTTACATTTAAAATAATGAAGTGCCAAGTAAATGTGTGTTTTATGGCATTGCATTGTTGCTTATTGATGGTTTGACAGGGTTTTTTTTTATTTATTTAAAAGAGTAAAAGACAGATAACATAGTAATAGGGGGATTTACCAAATTACAGACAAAGTGGTAGGACATTATCAATGGTTGTTATTTTACCTATTGTTATCTACAAGATAGTTTATCAGGAAAACAAATAGACAAAAAATAGTGAGTTACAGACAAAAATGGTAGGAAATTATCAATGGTTGTTGTACTATACTTCAGTTTCTTCAAAGTGGTTTCTAGGGAAAACAAATAGAGCTACACATGAGTGATCAATTAAATAATCATTAACTATTCTTGATGGTTGTTGATGAAAACACATAGTAATAAACATACATCCATTTATGAAATAGCATAGGAACAATAGAAACATTACAGAGTTATGGACAGATTGGTAGGAAATTATCAATGACTGCTGTAATACATGTTGGTGTCTTCAAAGTGGTTTCTCAGGGAAACAAAGATATGCAAGAAAGACCTAACAAGTAGTTACAGCCTAAGGGTTGTGAAAAATAGCAGATTACCTCCTCATCAGTGACTCCTTTCACTGAGGTGTGATGGCTGGAAGGAAGGCCAGGATTGAAAAGAAGGACCAAGAGACTAGAACCAGTGTCCCATAATAGGCTGTTTATTTTTCCTCTATAGTCATGATTATGTGGGGCTCCTCC